TGTGTGCGTGTGTCTCTCTCTCTGTGTGTGTGTGCTTATATATATATATATATATATATATATGTGTGTGTGTGCATGGCTGTCTAGTTCTAGTTAATAAATCACCATACCTGTATATGTTCTATTATATCAAGATTTCCTCCTGTACCGGATAGCGCTTCCTCCTCCATCTTTCTTAAAACGTTGCCTCGCGAGATCTTACAATAGTCCGACACGCTTTACACTGACAAACAACCCCGCCTGTTGTTTGCTGATATTTTAGAAAAATATACCAACACAAAAATAACGATGACGGTAACTGAAGGCAATAATGATGTGCGTTTTTATAGAAAAACATTCTTGAGCCTGGAGTCTGGAGTCTGAACTCTGGACGCATCCTCCTTTGGCGTTTGTTCATGACCCTAGTAGAAAAATTGGAAATATACTACAACGGCCTAATAAAAGTCCGTAGTTTGTTGTAAATAAATGACTGTTATTATATAGGCTATCTATTTATTTACAGTCTAAATAGTCTTCCGATCTTCCGACTTTCATGGTGGCCTCGTCCGTCACAGCCGGCATAGCAGCACACATAGTTCATACTTCATACTTCATGAAGTTCATATTTAAATACTTTATAGTTCAGTGTCATAAAGTCATTCCCTCATTACTTCTTCTCTTCTTCTTGTTATTGCGTGTGAACTGTGACGGTGTGTATGTAGAGAGGGAGCGAGGAGAGAGTTTATTAGTTTATAACCTCTCCTATCCGGCGCAATGCGCCCCGCACCTGGAAATAAGGAATATTCAACATTTGTTTGATACCAGACGAGCAGTGTCTGTCAAGTATCGTCAAACAATCACCATATATTTATTTTGAATTATTCAATGGATGTTGTGCTACATACTCTCTAAATACTAAAATAGGTAGAGTCTCTCTACTAGAGATTACGAGAGTGCTATATTTGTTTTATCGCACTGTTGTCTCTCGGCCATTCGCCAGGGCTTTTTAGTTTTTATAGCCTCAGTTTTTAGGCCACAAAACTTTTAACAAAGTAACCAATCAATCATCACCCCTGACCACAATGTACTGCTAATTTCTGTTTTATCGCTCAGGGTTTTAGGGTTTTCGCATATTATTGCATTGTTATTTGTGTCCAATCAGTCAATCACTCTGGTGTTAAGTTATTTATTTATGTCAAGTTATGTGGTCGTTCGTACCCTTGGGCCTGAATAATGTACCAACTGAATATGACAACAGCGCGGCGTGGACTCTTGAGGAGTAAATACAGCCTCTTGTGATTGTACAAGAGAGAGCCTATAGACTTTACAAGAGTGGACTCCGCTTCTCGCTTGGTTTGCACTTGCCTTCTTGAAGCATATACGGTCAACTACCGGCATTAGGGTACATTTGCTTCGGGATCCACTTTGACCACTACTTATTACTGTATATAGAATACTACCTATAAGTTTGCACTTGCCTTCTTGAAGCGTATACTGTCATCTACCAGCATTAGCGTATATTGGCTTCGGGATTTACGCTGATCACTACTCATTGCTGTATATAGAATACTAACTAACAGGTAGATTCCACCGACAGTGTCTCTATCTAAACTCCTTTTAAAATGTCGTCTTCAGACTGCTGCGCCTCCAGCAGTACCATGCGGCCCAGCGATCGGACCACTCACGACCCTCATAGCACTCACAAAGCACATTCACGACACCACTCACCAACAGCCGTGGTAGTTGAGGGGCAAGGCCCTGCGTCCTGTGGCAGATGCCCTACAGCAAGCCAGTGTACTTGCAAAGTAGGTCAACCCCATGAGAAGATGGGGGTCAAGACGGTGAACGACGGGGTGAGGCGACATCTACGCGATGACGAGGAACTCAACGTGATTGGATTGGACCAGGACAATGCAATACACGCACGGGAACATAGTCGTACTAAATCGGAGGAGAGTGGTTGTTGTGATAGGGATGGTACTGATTATCCTGATGTGTGGACAACATCGTATGGCGCACTGCCGGTGTGGGCGTGTGAGTTCTTGGCTGAGTTATTTGGTAGGTCGTTTTACATGTGCTGGAATGGCATTGTTGGTATGTACTCTTTTCCGCCGTGTGTATGTGAACAGTATATAATTTTATTTCTCCTGACTTTTCAGATTCTTGGTCGAGTTTTTTGGTAGATGCACTTGTTATGTGGATGTGTTGGATTGGTATTCTGGCCTCGTGGATGTACGTGTATCATGTATCAGTCGCACTGCTTGTATCGGTGTGTGAAATCTAGGCCAAGTTATTTGGTGTTTGGTTTTATTGTAGTGTGTTGATGGCAGACTTGTTTATACTCGCATTCAGATTGCGAACAATACATATTTGTTGCATTGCCTGTGTGAGCGGGATGAGACCTTTGCCGAGTTATTTGGCAGGCGGTTTCTTACAATGTACAGTATGCTCTGGATCGGTGGTATGAACTCTTTCACGCATACGTGTATCATTTGGAGAGTATGTCACTCCACACTCGCTTGTGCTTCTGCAACGATGTCTCTGTACGTATCTCATGCGTACTTGACGCAGGCGGGCATACATGGATGCTACAGACTCACCGTAGTGTCGTCCCGTTGCAGAGAATTGCCAACGCGTTATAGAATATCTGCATATATGCAGCTTAACAGAACCTTGTATACACCTTGATATTTGTGGGACTTGCAGTCCTGTTTGTGTATCATACTTGTGCACAGTAACGTGAAACGTTTATTGCATTGTGTCTCAGAAAGCTGAAAATAGCGTAAAGATGCGTGCATATTTTCTGTTCGATATAAACGACTGTTATTAGGGGGCTTGAATGTATATCGTATTTACTCACAACCCTCTTGAAGGGAGAGTATTGCTTGTTCATCCAGAGTGGTACACGTTTGCCTGAGGCGATCATTTATGCCCGATTTATATACTAAAGTTCCTACTCGCAAGTATCTATGGCAGTATCCATTATGTCTAGGTGTGTTATTTGTATTGATGTATACTATGCGTTTGATACTTCTGTCTCTTCGAAGATACACATTTGCAAGACACCCGTGTATGTGTGACACAATCTTGTTTCATATCAGTATATGAAGGCACACATAGTTCATATTACGAACCGTTCCGGAACATACAATACCTTACCTATTCGCACGTAGTATTACTAGAACGGATTGAGTTGCGCTTTTATTTCCAACTACACGTGCATGTTGTCATTTATGTGCGTGTGTGCTGTATTATATGTGTGTATGCTGTTATTTATCTTTGTATATGCCGTCATCAATGTGTATATATGTTGTTATTTATGTGTGTGTGTGCTGTCATTTATGTGCGTGTATGCTCTCATCTGCCTATATGAAAGCTGTAGTTGATGTGTGAGTATGCTGTCATTGATGTGTGTGTATGCTCTCATCTGCCTATATGAAAGCCGTAATTGATGTGTGTGTATGCGGTCATTGATGTGTGTGTATGCTGTCACTGATGTGTATGTAAGCTCTCATCTGCCTATATGAAAGCCGTAATTGATGTGTGTGTATGCGGTCATTAATGTGTGTGTATGCTGTCACTGATGTGTGTGTATGCTCTCATCTGCCTATATGAAAGCCGTAGTTGATGTGTGTATATGCGGTCATTGATGTGTGTATATGCTCTCATCTGCCTATATGAAACCTGTAATTGATGTTTGTATATGCGGTCATTGATGTGTGTGTATGCGGTCATTGATGTGTATGTATGCTGTCATTGATGTGTGTGTATGCTCTCATTGGTGTGTGTGTATGCGGTCATTGATGTGTGTGTATGCTGTCTTTAATGTATGTGTATGCTGTCATTGATGTGTGTGTATGCTCTCATTGATGTGTGTGTATGCTGTCATTGATGTGTATACGCTGTCAATTGATGTGTAAATTATTCTGTGGCAATTGCAAATCGACGCACATATGCACAATGTGTACTCAACAAAGTGTGTAGTGCTCGTGTCATAGCAAAAATTATAGACAGTCGACCGTGTTGCTGTTTGATTAGAATGTTTAGTATATGTCACAGTCTGTATACATTATTATATTGCTTAGCAATATATCATGTTATAGTCTTCCTGTATTAATAAAATGCGGTCACTCAATCATTTCAAATGTTCCACATATTTTGGTACAGTTTCTTTTAATTGGAATGTTCATCATATTATATCGCGATTCTTCCGCCAGTGTTTAATCCCTTTCTCGGTGTGTATAGTAGCCTGCATATCTGAAGTTCTCATACCTATATACAGCCTGTGTTCATTATAGCCACAATCAGTTCTGTATGTAATCTTCCCTCCAAATAGTCGGCATATCACAAAAATCTTCAGTACATCGCAGTACACTGACCAAGTACCAAGCCCCCCGTGCATCTAATGATCTTCAGGCTATGTTCTGCAAAACCTATATACAGTCAGTATACTTCAGAGACACATACAGTCCAGAATGTAGTCTTCCCTCCAATTAGTTCGGTATACCTTATACAGTACACATCTTACCAATGCTCCCGTACCAACTCAACCCCCCCTCTCTCTCCTCGTTATCAAATATCATCCCCAGGTACTGCGTTTTTGGTGTTCTTTGGAACGGGTTCTGTGGCGGCTGCAGTGATCAGTGGTGCGCAGACTGGGCTGTGGCAAGTGGCTGTGGTGTGGGGTTGGGGCGTCAGCATCGCTATCTTCTGGTATGTATCGACGTATCTGTCTCGGAATGCATTGATATGTGCTTGTTTGGAATGTATTTTTTTATGTTTCTTTGGAATGTGTTAATTTTATGCTTGTTTGTATTATATATATATATGCTTGTTTGAAACGTATTGATTTATGCTTGTTTGTACTCTGTTTGTTTATGCTTGATTGAAACGTATTTTTTTATTCTTGTTTGTAATGTATATATTTATGGTAGTTTGGAATGTATTTATTTACGGTCGTTTGTGTTGTATTTATTTATGCATATCTGTAATGTATTCATTTATGTTTGTCTGAGATATATTTATAAATGCTTCTTTAAAATGTATATATTTCTACTTGTCAGGGGGAGATTGCCTCTCGTATGTATGTTTGGGTGTCAACGCTAGCCACTCCATATGTAAATGTCACATCGTTGCTATAGCGTCGGGAGATAATCTTGTATTTGGTATTGTTTTTAAGTTTCAGAGTTTTCGGATCTTGAAAGTCTCATAAAAACCGCACAAGTCCAGATAGTCCAGATGACTGCTACACGTCTTATTACGTCGCTATATGACTTCGAGTGTACAATACAGTCCCCTGACATCTACATACCTAGAGTCGTTAACTCTCATGCCCTTATATACCTAGAGTCAGTGCAATACATCCTTATGACACTAATATATCTAGAGTCCATGAGAAGTGTGTATGGACACATCAACGTCATCCTGACAATATGCCTCTCTCACACAGCGTTGGTCACGTCTCGGGTGCGCATCTCAACCCGTCGATATCCTTCGCCTTTGCGCTCATAGACCACAAGGACTTCGGCTGGAGAAGGTTCGGCTACTACGTGCTGGCCCAGTTTGTGGGGGCTTTCTTGGGATCCCTCTTAGTGTGGAGCTTGTTCTCTGGTGCAGTAGCGCACTACGAGGGTGTGAACAACATGGTGAGAGGCCAACCGGGGAGTGAGCGTACGGCGATGATGTTCGGCGAATACTTCCCCAATCCGGCATCGTATCCGAACCAGAACGAAGTGATTGGGATCGGCCAGGCTTTCTGGGCGGAGATGCTGGGTACGGCGTTTCTGGCGTTTGTCATCTTCTCGGTCACTGCGCCATGCAACAATGTCATCCCACCCAATGTAGGTACAATTGTGTGGTGGGTAGTATCGCCGCGGGATGGGTAGAGTGTGCAGATGGCTGAGCGCACCTGCACCCAAGTCAGTGGGATTGGGGTGTGGGTCGGGCAAAGAGGTCTTTGATATAGTGTGTGCGTGTTGTACTGTGCTACATGAGGCTAGTTTTGTATCTTTTTAGTATCCTCTATTACTGTATTCAGCTTCGTTTATTGCAATATTCACCCTCCACCGTGGGACGCTATGGGAGGTCACTGAACGAGTGTATATCCATCACCTCGAAGCGGCACTATCCTGCTGTCAATATGTATGTCTACTCATCGCTGAACAACGCTTGCTAATTCAACGCATTTGCTCGTGTTGAAATTATTCCACGAGTGGCTCGTGGGAATCGAATGAGCTTTGCCACTACCACGATGCCATAGTATTTAGTAGAGTCCCACATCTTAACATAGGTAGCATTGCATCTTGGTATCGAACCAAGTGGTACCAGTTTCTACGTATCCTTTATGGCGGTTTTGCTACCCTGGGACTCGTTGCGCCTAAAAACAATTGCTTAACTCTTGTCATATATCTCATTACTTTCTTCTCTTTTCTTCTCTCCGGTGGTCAACAGTTCGCACCTCTGTTCATCGGGTTTACGGTGTCGATCATCATATCGCTGATAGCGCCTCTCACCCAAGCAGGCTTGAACCCAGCCCGAGACTTTAGTCCTCGTTTACTGGCACTCATACTCGGTTGGGGTGACATCGCCATCCCCGTATGTATTTGGTTATTGAATTTGCGATGTAGATGTAGTTGAATTGTGGCGATTCCTATATTTATTTGAGCCGATCTCCCCCCCAGTTCATGCTCTGCTTGGAAGACTTCTGTGTAGTTGGATTATGCTCAGTGTCCGTATGCCGAATCCTTGTGGCATTGTTGTGACGTTAAATTTTATGTTAGCTTTCTCCCGTCCCAAGATATATATTTAGTCTCTCGCCACTGCAACTCTCGTATGCCCAAGACCAATTCGGTATCTATCTTATGTGGTATCTAGTATTATCGTATATCTATGTTTTATAGCGACTTAGCTCATAGTATATAGACATGCAGAATTGACCACAGCATATGATAGCAATCACATCTCTTTGTCGTGCACTCACAGCAATACACCTCTGCCCACAAACTCATGCAGGGACCAAGAAACGGGTTCTGGATATATCTACTGGCACCGATGCTCGGTGCACCTATAGGTGGCTTCTTGGCCAACGTCTGCATACAACGCCCGTGTAAGTCTACTGAGGCGTGCTATGAGCTGGTCGCATGTTCGGAGAAGAAGGATGATTAAGACAGCCTGAGCGAAACTTTGGTACGAATTGACGAATTCAATGTACGAACAGATACATAATGGCGTCAGGAAACAGAAAATGAATGCATGGAGTACTCTGTTTCTCGCCGAAATACACATTTTCGACTGCTTCCCAGAACAAAATTGCTGGTGTAGACGCTGATGGTCATCCTGTTTTCCTGCGCTATTTTCAACGCGATGCAAACCTTGATCAGAAAAGCAGAAAATGGCTATATCCAGCTTCCAGAGTGTTGTACCCGAAACCGAACCGAATCAGCGGAAATACTGTCAGCTGTATTCAGAGGAACCGTATATACAGGATACGTCACCATGGCATACGAGGTCACCGAACACCTGGGCTCAACCACTGACCGTTTGACCAAGACAACTCAGCAGCACTCGTATATCACAGTGCGGTTTACGTGAATACAACGGCAGGAACAGATTCGCTTATGCGGGTGTCACATCGGATGTTCACTGCGCAGATGTGATATGTTAACTTGTGTAGTTTCTTGATCGTTTCTCTTAGGTCAACTGGTTACGAATTAGATCATTGAAGTATCCAGAAGGGGTAAATAATTGCATGAGTGTACCATTTCCTATTTGAGTATACTTTTTCCGCTCAAATCTGAGCGATTTCTGGCAGAATAGAGCATGGATATCAACTAGTCACACTTCTTCGGTTGAACAATAGCGTTCCATATTGTTGTAGCCTTGCCCCGCTCATCCCATGCAGGATTATTGTGAAAGTACCGCAGTCGTACAAGCCTCTGCGAATAACATGCGACATTCTGGAAAAGGCAAAAGTGTTTTGCTACCAGGAAAACATGTCTTTTCAGCTCCCACTACCACCCCGCTCGTGAAAAGCATTGTAATGCGCTTCATACACTAGGCGCCTGCACCATTGGCTGTTGCTTTGCAACAAACACATTCAGACGGGGCAAAGATCACACAGACATGCATGTGCACATAATTGTGCGAATATATACATATATATATATATATATATATATATATATATATATACATATGTGTGTGTGTGTGTACGTGTGTGTGTTATATATATATATATGTGTGTATGTGTATATACATATTAATACTTTTGCAGCAATATTGTAAATATGCATATTACTTTTCCAGCGATATTGTATATATTTATATATTTTACTTTTCTAGTAATATTGTAAGTATATTACTTCTCTAGCGATATTGTAAATAAATATTACTTTTCTAGCAATATGTAAGTCGCGCAAACGCTGGCTAAATATTACTCCTTGGATTTGTCAGTAAGTTTGGTGGCTACTGATATAGACTAACCAAAAGGAGAAACCACCAACACTGCGCGGTGTGTAAATATCCGACCCTTGAGCTTGGGTATGTTCGCATTTATCTGTACCAGTGGTTAGTAATACGTAGAGTTTAACCCTGGCCAGGGTAAATGGCACGCAGTTCGGCACTGGCCTCTGTTTTTATTTCACGCCCCAATTGCCGTATGTGAGCAAACGGCCAAATAATGGGCATGGCACTGCGGCAATTTATAAATCAAAGGGAAGATATTATCCATTTCAGGGGAAGAAATGCTTACACAATTTTGCACAAAACACTACACACACTACACACACACTCACCGAGCTGTATATGACGCAAAGTGCACAAACACGCACGACGTTGTTGGCGTAATCGATTAGCACGCCTGCGTAGTCGCCCGTAATAGGCTCGTGAATCATAATAGGCGGTCTCAGGGAATATCGAGGATAGTGAACCGCCGGTATAGGTTAGATGACATATAGACCACTATAAACTGCCACACATAGAACAGAGGCATGCATAAAACCCGCGAGGATAAGTGTAGTAAAACATGTTTCGATGACTATATCTCAACATGCTCCCTTCTCTAGAGGTTGGACGTTGGTCATTTATTAAATATCTTTGGTGCATAAAACCATGTGTTTATTTGATCAGAAATACTGATCAAATAATCCCCTAAAACTAGTCTACAAATTCTATCAAATGAACCTGAAAACACTATCAGTGTATACCTGACCCATATATTACCACACGGAAGTGGGAATCCAGACTGGCACGATGACAGCCTCAGTATGCATGAGCTAAGATCAGAGTTTACTGCGTGCAACATGCCATAACGGATGATATGTACAAAAGATTGCAGAGAAATACAGGACTTGGACTGCCATGTGACCAATAGTGCGTACGCGCCTACTAGACACTGCTTAATACATAGTTGTTCAAAGTGTCTCATTAGCCGGCGATGTGTCTGTCAGATAGGATAGACGCAGTGTGTGGTTAGTGGTCCACTCTTATATTGTTGCCACTCGGTGAGTCCCGTGGCACGTATGGTGGGAGCTGTGGCGAGATTTTTAGCGCTCTTGATGTTGAAAAGCCTGGCCGCAGCGACTGTCGTCGGCCACGCCCTCGGGATGGATGTTGACCGTGGTGCTTGCAGCTACACAAGGGAAGTATCTCTTTATTTTAGGTGGGGACGGTGTATGACGAATTCGATGCCGGCCGCTAGATCTTTGACCATCTGCCGAGCACATTCGTTTACCTCAATGACCTCGCATGGACCTGTCCAGTTGAGGCAACCTTGTACCTTTTTGCTGATAAGGCGCATGACCCGATAACCAACTGAAAATGAAGATATGTGCGCGTGCTGTTTGTCCGCAGCCACTTTCTGGATTGCCTGGACGTTGCATCATGGCCTCACTTGGGTCGAGAGAACTGTATCCAGTGCGCCCTCTTTGGATGCTAGTATGAGCGCTGTGCGCTCTCCTAGAAGAGGGACGTGTGGTCAACCATAAGGGCGAGTGGTTGCTCTCGTGTAAGATGTATCACCTGTCACGGAGGAGACAAGTGCATTGTATGCTTGGGCGAATGCGCGCACCAGGGGCACCCGGAACACTTTTTGCGTGGGCATGGCCGACTTGTATACCCACACGTTCATCACCTTAATTTGGCCCTCGGCATGTCCGTTGCCTTGGTGGTGGTTGGCCGTTGTATAGAAGTGCAAGAATACTTTATTTGTACAAAAATTAATGGAAAGGACAGAGTTAAACACTGTGTCCTGGTCGGCGGTGAACTCTGAGGGGACATCCCAGGGGAATATCTGTTTGGAGACAAAGTTGGCGTACATACTGTCTGCCTTTGCCTCCAGCGAACGGACGAAGACCATGCCTGTGGTTTTACAAACCGCCAAGAGGGTCTAGGCCAATGCTGCCTGGAGCCTCTGAAAAAAATTGCGAAATCCGCATACAGGTGGTCACAAGAAATTTGGGGTCGCTCTGGCTGCTGCAAGAGGCCAAACTCCTTGGACGGCCGCGATGCGGATTCCTGGTGAATTTTGCATTATTTCAAGATGGCCTTGATTTCGTCACGTAAGCTAATCCAGCCGTATAAGAACTCTACAGCGCGCTCAATTTCTAGCACCCTTGCGTACATGTACACCTCGTGGACCGCTTCGATGATTTGGTGGACACGCGTACACTGGACTGGACTGCATAGAGATCGTGTCGTAGGCCAAGGAGGCCCGGTTAGGCCTGGTGCTTGTCGCCTGAATTGCTGCTGTATCGGTAGCGGAGGGAGACGGCTGTTCGCCCAGGAGTGGTGCAGGTGCTATTCTTGCGATCTGGGTTTTAGGGTTTTTAGTGGCAATGCGAATTTGTGCTGCGAAGCTCGTTCACCTGGTAAGTCCTCGCCCTGAACTGCAAGGAAATGCCTCACACTCGCTCGTGGGAGTAGGAAAGTCGTGGGACCGTGGTGTGAGACACGGCAACGACTGACGCCCAGAAACCTGGCGGAGGTATAAACGGTTCGCCGGTATATCTAATATGTAGGACGAGTGTAGCGTCCTGTCTCAGTTGGGTTCCCACCCGCTCGTGGCCATATCGCAGAAAACACCATCGGCTGGCTGTATCAGAATCGGCAATACAATTAAAAAGGTATGCATGACTGAGAAACACTCATCATATGGCATAAACGGGCAACACACCGTGAGGCCGTGCGCCCTGTCGGCCACAATCTTGAGGAACAGACGCTTCAGGCCCTCTCTTGCGGGTTAAGTCAAGGTTGAGGAATCGCGAGCAAATGACACAGACGCCCCATCGAGTGTGGGCTTGTAGAATTGTGACACTTACTGATTACCAGACAACGCGAAGCCATCGGTGTCGTGCGGCCTGTGTTTGGCGTCTGCGAGTAGTATCCATTTCTTGGCAAGAATATATTCGGTGGTACACAACGTGCTTGCACCGCTAAATTCCAGTGAACATGGTAGAGCGCTTGCGTGTGTGCGTGCAAGCTGTATTTTGTGGTCAAGAGCGTGCGCAAGGCGCTAGAGGATGTCAGTAGTGCCGTTTTCTTTGCACTTGATATGGTACATGCGTGCATCTATGTCTTGGCATACCTCTTGCAGCGCTGCTGCTGGCGCCCTCTCGGGTCAGACCTATCCTGAGCTCACATAGTTAAGAGGGCTATGTGGTCCGTGTAGACTCCCAATTCTAGGACCGAACGCTTGATGATTTTCCACAATTTAATCATGCCGTACATAGATGCCAATCAACCACTTTTCCTTATCAAGTACATGAAACTTGTACTGGACTGAGAAGAATCTGAATGAAAGATGCGCCACGGGAAGAAGTACATCGCCTCGTCAAACGTATAGGCAGCCTCTGACACCTATGAACTCGCAGGCGTAAAAATACAACATCTGTTACGCGTGTGCGTTTGCTTTGGCGAGAACAGCTCGCTCAGCGAGTTGTGTGAGTCAAATTTGTCGAAGACCTACTAATCGTCATCGTTCCATCAGAACTTCGCATCTTTCTTTAAAAGGAGATCTGTAATTGAGTTGAGAGTCTAACAAAACCAGGAACGAACGACTTCCAGAATACCACATTATGGTACCAAGGCCTCGAGGTCCAAATCTGTAAGGTGATGAAGGTTGGCGAGGGCTGCTAGACGCTCGAGTCTGTCATAGAGACGCCCTTAAAGTCTACTTTGCGTGCTAGAATAGATACCGCGCGGTGGAAGGAGGCAATCTAGCACTTCTTCAAGTCAAGTTGAATGCCATACTGCTTGCAGCCAGTTAGGACTGTTAATAGCGCGTCCCAGTTCTCCCCGGGCGAGTCGGAAGCGATGACTATGTCATTAATGTACCAGATGACATCGCCGAGAGCTTCGAATATTTGAGCTAATGCCTCCTGGAAGCGCCAGGATGCCTCCCGGATGCCGAAGGGGAGGTCCACGTACGCCTAACGCCTCCAGGGTGTTCAGAAGCTAGAATGTCGGACGATGCTTCCGACACGCGCAGCTGGTTGAAATCGTTACCACAGTTCAAGACCGACAACCAGGGCTTCCTCACCACAAATCATACGTTCCTGACTCTGTGAGGATAGGGTACGTGAGTTCAGAATCGACGACCTCCTTCCACCGACTGAGGTTCGAACAGAACCTAAAGATTATCTTACA